ATGGCTGTTTATTCACCTGTTTGAAAATGAGAGCTGTGCATATTGAGATGGTTCATACGCTAACTACTGATTCATTCGTGCTAGCATTACATAGATTTATAAATCGCCGGGGTGTACCGAAGATGATGTTCAGCGACAGAGGGACTAATTTTGTTGGCTGTCACGCCGAGCTTAAAGAGTACTTCGAAGGTCCCCAAACGAGAGTTCAGGAAGAGTTACTGAAAAGGAACATCGAGTGGCACTTCAACCCACCACATGCCAGCCATAGAGGCGGGCTATGGGAAAGACTTATAGGAATTATCAAGCGTATTTTAAGCTCCATAATTAAAAACCAGAGTTTGAATGACGAAACGCTGGAGACATTTTTTGTGAAGCTGAACGAATATTAAATGACCGGCCGTTATCACCTGTGAGGGACGACGTCAAGGATTTTGATGTGTTAACCCCAAACAAATTATTGTTATTGAGAGGCAACCCTGGCATAGAGGACTCAAGCGGGGAAGGAATACCTACGATTAAAAGATGGAAACAAGCCAGGCACATGAAAGATATATTTTGGAAAAGATGGTTAAAGGAGTATGTTCTAACACTGCAAACCAGAGACAAGTGGAAAAAGTTGTGCCGAAACTTAAAGGTTGGTGACATAGTATTAGTAGCAGATAAATGTGCCACAGGTAGGTGGCCTTTGGGAGTGGTAGTAAGGCTACTCTGTAGTGGTGATGGATTGGTGAGGACGGTTGAGGTGAGAACAAGTTGTGGCATGTTGGTGCGAGATATTAGAAAACTGTGTCTACTGGAAGGTGCTGAGAGTCGAGAGTCGGAGGATGAAACACTAGACGATTTTCCAACCTAGGGCGTCAACCTGAGAAGGGTTGTAGGCGTACTGCTGTAAGTCCTACAATTCTTCAAAGGGTAGCGCATCAATGAGCAGTCCAATGTGCCTGGTGTGTGATTTTGTACATATGTTCATATTGTATATACTGAATTGATATCATCTGTCATCTAGCTGTTGGTAATTCTGTTTGTGTCCGGACGACTTCCACTTGGATCATCAACCTGAGAAGGAATGTAGGCGTACTGCTGTAAGTCCTACAGTTCTTCACCGGTAGTTCGTCAAGGCAGAATCCACAACATTTGATGTGTTGATTGTACATATGTTTGTGTTAAATAATTGTGTGAGTTCCAATTATTGTAATTGTTGGTTAATCTTGTTTGTGTCCTTACATTCCACAAATTACAATCGTCAACCTGAGAAGGGTTGTAGGCGTACTGGTGTAGGTCCTGCAATTCTTCAAAGGAATTCCACCAAGAGATGATCGGCGAGGTTGTTTGTACTGTTTGTATATACATGTGGTGTGTCATATCAATTGGTGTATTTTGGGTTCATTGTGTTTACTTGTTGATTTCGTGTCTTGTTGTTATTGCGTAAATTTGTTAAAATTTTCGTCGTGATTACTTCTGAAGTTGTTTCGAGTCTTCTACATCCGTGAATGAATTGATTGATGTTAGAGACAGCAGATGGGTCGTATACGCCGGGGAGGAGATAATGATTAGCTGTGGTCCCACACGCCGGGGAGCGGAAGTGTAGACGAACGAGGCTTGCATACGTCACCGTCACCAGAACTGGGGTAGAATGAGTGACAAGCGATTTCAGTGGTAATTGGTAGTGAGTAGATAAGACGATGTGCGTAGAGTATCATGAGGTGGTGCTATGGGCACGTTGCGTTCTGCAAGATTCATTCTATCAAGTGGCGATTGTGTTTCGAGATGTGAAGAGGATGCCTTTAACTGGAAGGCGTAGGTCATCATCGAGGAGTAAGATTGTGCTGTGAGTATGTCTGTGATGTGTTGGCTTTTCTGTTTGTTCTCAATTTCAGCTCTGTCCGTGTGACCCAGGTTCTCGCAATGGCATCCAAGTCAACATGTATTGGTCGTGAAGAAAAAAACGTTGGATCCACTTTTTGCCGGGGAGTGTCAATGGAGTTGAAGAATGAACGATCAATTCTTGGTTGTTTGCTCAAAACCAACTTCCCCAATTTTCGCGGAGGCATCAATACGACAGTCATCGTCTCATCGGTCGCTGTTCAGAAAGAAGTCGGGACAATACCGTCAGAAACCTTAGTTTTAAAGCTTAATTTTAAAGTTGGCCATATGTTGGTGTTAAAATAAAGAATTCTCGAGTGGCCAATCGGTGTTTTGGTTTTGCGTCCGTTATTACCAAGCGTTTCTGAGAAAATTCAAGGAACAGCGTGAGTCCCAGGGCAGCAAGAGCTGGGCATTAACGGTTTACGAGACGTGGCTGACACCGATTCATGTGAGATAGAAGACTTAACATCTCTGGGACATGCATCTTTTAAGAGGTCTCTCAATATAGTTGAAGACTGAACGATCAATTCATGGTTGTCTGCTCAAACCCAACTCTATATATTTCGCGGGAGTCATCAGTCCATCAGTCATTGTTTAATCGTTTGCTGTTCAGTGGAAGATAGAAAGCTATGAGAAGTATTATAGTGATTTATTGTTATAACATTTATTTTTAGACCTTATGTTTATATGAAAATATATATTATTATTAGATCTTGGGTGCAATGACCTTAATGTTTGTTACATATTGGCGTAAGAATAAAGGATTCTCGAGTCGCCAATCTGTGTTCTAGTTTTTCATGTTTTTTATTACAAATTGTTTCTGAAAGTCTTCCAGGTACAGCATGAGGTCCAGCGTAGTAAGAGCTGGACATTGACAGTTTCTGATAGTTGGCTGACAAGGTCCAAACAGTGAATATCTCACCAGTTCTGAAGTGACCGAAAAGTTCATTTAGGCCATTATAGATGGTCAAACAGCACTGTTAGTATTACCGGTTCGAACCGCAAGGACCGTATTGCTCGCTTTTCAAGAGGAAACCCGATAGACACACTCCGAACAAACCTCTTAACGGTATCAGGGAATTTACAGAAACTCACCTGTAGAAAGTCCCCAGGTTGTGACGAAATTCGGCTACCTGTTTCGAAACAGTGCGCCGAAGCTCACTGAAGGCCCCCATGTGTCTTTTCTAACACTCCATGGATTCAAGGAAACAGTCGAAGGAATAGAATGGAGCCATCACTTCCACTACCTTCGGCGGTGGATATCAGCTAAGTGCCACAAGTTGGAAACCAGCAGCGCTGCTCTCATTGGTATCAGAATAACTGGAAAGTCTGACTGATGACCCGGTCAGGCAACGTCTCTATTGGGCTAACATACTGCACAAAGAATAACATGGTTTCAGTAGGGGCTGATCCTGTATGACTAGTTCATTATCTTCTTGGATTTATAGAACATCGTGCTGGGGTGTGTATGTTTCAGTCCGTTCCTCAATTTGGTGAAGACATTTCGAGCGGCTCAGCATTACCTTCCCCTTCGCGAAATAAGCCACGCGGGTATTGCTAGTCTGCTTCTCTCATCGTTGAAAGACTACCCAGATGAAGGGGAATCATGAACCACAGTTAATCGTATCCTATTTACAGGGGAATCAAGTGCTTGAGATGCACAAAAAGTTACAAGCATTTAGGGAGAGTGGAGACTGGTCAGCGGTATGGCCTTCAACCCATAAAAAGCAGAGTAGTTCAGCCAGGCTCCTGTAGACTGCAGAATGTGAGTTATTTCCTATGTGGCATTTGAACGCGTCTGGTTTTGACGGAAAAATGAATTACGCTGGTGATTTGGCGAGGGCGTATGTGATTAGGTAATTTACGTACACACAACTAGATGTGCTCACTCCTTAGGTCTTCCTGAGGCTGCACAATCATACGTAAGACGCCTTGAGGTGTACACTGTCATTGCTAATGTATTACTCAGAAGAGTGGCTAATCTCTTGGAAAGAGTCCAAAGACGAGTGACAAAAGGGGTAACGGATATCCGAAATAAACACTTACCCACTCTCGGCTTAGAGATGATAAATTGCTGCCTATAAGACTGGTAATGACCGGGATTATCCAAACATAGACATTTTGCCATTAAGCACATGTGGGCTCTCCCGTGGCAATCCACGAAGCATAGGGTATTTATGAGCAGAGTTTAGAGTGCACTCACATTTCCTGTCACTTCGAGTTTTCCGCTTTCGAAACTCCCTGCCAGCACAAGTGGCGACTGCAGCGTTCGTGGAAACCTTTCAACAGAGGCTGGACAATCATGCAGCGACACCAGGACTGCGTCAAGATGGTGTAAGCCCTTCAAACACACACTTTTAGTAGGTTTACACCTAAACACGTCTTAATACTACTAACCATCCTCCCTTGTCTTACTTTTCTGACCGCTTATTATATATATACGTTAGATAAATTAAAAAAGCACTCATACAAAATAACCATACATATTTACGATTGTACAGCTGTAAAAATGAATTCACCCAAAGAGGCTCTTCGCTGAACTACTGGTTCTCTTTCTATCAATGTTCGAATGGGTATTTTTCATGAATATATTTTTAAATTTCAAATTTCGCTATCTGTTTGCAAGTTTTTTCCTTTTTAGGGGAATATAACCTGCACTAATTACATCTTTCATCATCTTTTCTTTCCATCAGAATGGATGATTAACAGGTGAACGGATCAACTCCATTCACACCAGCGGCAAAAGTTTGATACACCACTTTTCAAAAACAACATATAAGCATTCTCAGCACCAATCCTCCTGGAGTCAGCCAAAGCTTGAAACTCGAGTGGTGGGACAAAATACGCAGAAGTGTGCCGAAAACCAGGAATCTCTACTTTACGCCCAAGAAGCAAGCACGAAGAAATCAGTTTGGTTTACACTTTGTGTGAGAACGATATTGGAAATTTGAAAACAACCTCCAAAACTTCCGCTTCTCACAGAGTCTACCGTAATTGCGAAGGATAGTGACAAGACACAGAAAGCCATCGAGGGTCAAGAGACGCTGCTTCACTATAAAGACAGTTTGTTTATACCAGCTTAAACGGTAATATTGGAAGTGTGTTTTATGCATTAGACGGTACTTACCGTCAAGATGTTCGTTGCTAAATGTCTCAAGGGCCTTCCTGTTTGTGAAGTGTTCTTTAATCCTGTTAGATGGAGAGTTAGTAAGGCAATACCAGCAAAAATCACTCTTGAACTGCGGAAAGCGATGTATGAGGAGGATGATGCATGGCATCGGACGAGAGTAGCCGACTCAACTGAAGAAGTTAGTTACGCTTTGTATTATTGTTTAGTAGTATTGTTTATTAACAAGGGCAAGGCTTAAGAACTAAAATATGTTTGAGCGTGTTCAAAAGTTAGACATGGCACTTTGCGTTGGCAGACAATATGCTACATAAGCTTAAAAGTCCCTTACTATGCCTGTAACTATGTTAAGTTCCTATCGTGTTCTGGGGGGAACACTTCGTAATCATTTCCCAATAATTTTTTTCTTTGACTACAAACCTAGTTGGAGATAGGCATTATATATAGTCATATTCTTACACATTGGGTCTTGTCTGCACAGATGTCTTCAATATATCCAAAGATGTATGCAATCCTGCGGCAAAAGTAGGTAGTCAAACGAAGGAACTAATCGAGTTATATGAATTTAAGTTAGGGTTTCATTGTTTTGGATTCAGTTTTTCATTATATGTAATATGTAATGTTTTATGTAACCTTTCTGTCATAATAAGATGAATGGAAATTTAGAACAAATATACGAACTACCCTCAAACGTAAATCAACTGCTTTTGATGTTCAGTCTTTCTAAGTGGCAGGAGGGGATACTCTGAACGTGTAAATCAAAGTTTATAAGTCTTTAAATCAGTGGTCACTAACTCCGGTCTTTAAAATGCTTCGTCCATAGGTCATGACGTAAACCGTTATTTGCTAAAAGCGTTTATGTTTAATCGAAAAACAAATAATGGGGTTTATGGATTAGTTTCGTGATCTATGTTCATGTTCATATTTGTGATATTTTTAATGAAGAACTAGTTCTTTGACGCTTATAGCTGGGTTTAGTGGTTACCTCTGTAACATTCGAAATTATTTTGGTCTATCTGCTTAGTAATGTGTAAGACTACTTCCCTAGTGCGTGCGAAATGGTGGAACAATAGAGCGATGAAGATTACTTGGTGTTCTCCGTGGTTTAATGTCTAGGCTTTTAATAGACTTTTATGTAGATTAAAACGATTAATAGAACAAGACTATAATTATCTTGGCTGCGTGTTACGGTTTTTATGTGGCAACACTATTTTTGTCTGAGGGATTGGTGCATTATCTTACAAAGTTGTTCATAACTCTTTCACCCCAACAGGCACAACATATCATGAAAAAATCCGAGGATTTTTCTAAAGATGATCGTATAATGGTCCCTGAGAAGGATGACTTGACATTAATAACTGGAGTCCCAGAAGAGCATCAGTCTGAAAGACGGGTGAGAATTTTCATACCAGCTAAACCGGCTACCCAATCAGGAAATCATGGAACCAGACTTTGGCGTATCGAATTTGATAACCGTGAACGCTGGGAAAATGCATTAATGGGATGGGCTAGTTCTGGTGATCCACTTTCAAATACGGTTGTCGAATTCGAAACTGCTGAAGCTGCGCAAGAATTTTGTCAACGACAAGGATGGCCGTGTTACGTAGAAAAACCAAATGTTCCAAAGTTAAACGTTAAGTCCTATGGATCTAATTTCTCATGGAACAAGAGAACACGCGTTGGGTCGAAATAAAATTCTAAGATTGTTCTTATTTTTTTTTGTTACTCAGTGAATGTAGCAGTTAGCTGAGTATTAACTTGCTTTACTTTGATTGATATGTAGAAATATAAATCATTTATGTACATTCTGTTCTTATTTGATATCATGAGAAATGTTTCTTATTCGCTTTGAATATATTTTTGAGTGGTTTCATATATGACAAAGTTTATGGTTGCTTGTTTAACTTAAGCTCGTGGTTCCACATTATAAATAATTGTTTGTGTAGTATTAGTTTTATTGAATAACTCGGAGAAAGGCATGTTTTTTAGAAATAACCGTTAATTCCAGTTAAGATGATCTGCTGAATCTCATGTATATTGTGTTATTCGGTTGGGAGCAGTATGTGGATTGAGTCTAGAGTCGTTCATACGTATCATAATGAAATGGAAGCCTATCAAGGTGGTGAGCCTTACAAATAACGGTAGCTTAATAACCTGACAACTAGCTAAAAATTTCAGGTTGTGAGGTGGATTTAAATTTCTGTTTCCAAGGTTAAGTGTGAGTAATATTGTTTAGTTGGTAATTAATAACGCTTCATTCCTTGTATTCCTGCGTCATTTGCTGACTAAGTCAGAAATGACAATTTTTGATATTCTAGTCTTACAGTAAGTGCAATTTAAAATCTTTCTATCCACAGGATTCTTTTAAAGAAGTCCACTTGCATATCTCACTGCGATCAGCAGTTTATATTTAACTGAGGTTTCGAGTTAAATGATAAGATAGTTAACTCACTACAAGTACTGACATAATGGTTTTTGCTTGGTAATTTCCTTTCGTTCTCTTTCTTTATCTATTTCTTATTTCTGTCTGCAGTCAAAATGCCAATTTCAACAGAGAGAAAACGACGGGCGAATGCTGGCTCACGAATGGCTCGTTTATTGAATGAAGAGGAAGAAGATGAATTTTATTCCAACGTATATGGTGGATTTAAGGAGGTACACATTACATTTTCTCACTTACCTAAAATCCTCTTGTTCCTTTGTCTTTAAGCAAAACGCTCTTTTGAGATATGATTAAGGTATTTTAATGCATGATTAGGGGCTTCGGGATATAGTATAGCAGTATTTGGATTAGATTGGTTTGATTTATAAAAGTATGCTAAGGATGGTTTGTGTCTGATGTCACATAAACTCGAAGGTCTGAAGGCGAAAGCCAACAAGTCAGAATAAACAGATAACGAAGACAGGATTTCAAGTGAACATAGGGAAGACACAGGTGATAAGGATACCTAACCAAAAACAACAAGAACTAATCATTATCTGCAGGAGAAATTTGAAAGAGGTCACTGTCACCTATGTAAGCAGCATTGTCTCAACTAAAGATGGCACGGGTGAGTATGTCACAGCCAGTATCAGAAAGGTGAGGCAAATCTTTATTACTCTAAAATCAGTATGAAAATCCACTGCACTTAGCATAGGGAACGAAATTTGGATTGTCAACACTTATGTCACGTCAGTTCTTCCACGTAGTTTACAGAGTTGTCATATAAGGAGACTAGAACATATGGACGGTCTTGGAGCCAGCTAAAGAGGACCTCAAAGAACAGGGGAAATGGAGGTGTGCTAATGAAGCTCCAGGTTCTATTCGAGAAATAAGGGATAGTTTTCAGTATTCCATCATCTAGTACTTATCACTTGGCAGATAAGACCACTTTCGTAATCTCACTGTTAAGGTAGTTGGCTTAGCACTATAGTATACCGTTTAGTGTCTCTCATGTCGAAAATATGAGCTTTGCTGTCAACAAGCATATTTAGTAAGTTCTGTAAGAGCAGCATCTATGAAAACTACCTCTTATTAAGCCAAGTCAAAATCCAGGAGTCATCGTCTATTCATAGCCACGAGGCGGATTGTCACTGGTTTGACAACCAGTGAGGCCCGATTAGCTTCAGCCTGCTGGCCACTGGTTGCATTTCTTGTTCATATTTGATAACTTTTCGAACCACCGATTCTAACTATCAGACCCCAACTGGAGAGTGATATGCCAAACGATTCTGACTTAACACAGATATCCTTCATCCCAGGACACCACAAAATAGGCTGACCTTTTCTCCGCCTTTTCCATCCAGTCTCATGGTGATCTTCACTGTGTCCGAACAAACTGACGCACCTCAAAATTACTGACAAGATGGTGCTATCGAATGCAAGCAATTCTTTAGAGACAGCGATGATCGAATACAGAGAATCGCCACACATCCTCTTCTTGGAAAGACCAAGTTTCACAGGCACAGAGCAAGAGTGTGTGCATGGAAGCACTGTAAACCTGACCTTTGACAGCCATGCTGACGTCGTGACAGCTCCAGAGGTGGGCCGAATCGGCATATGCCACGCTGGCTTTCACTTTATGGTTAGAAATCTCGTCTGTCACACCTCAGCCAGCACTCACACAACTACCCAGATACATGAACTCATACGGTTCGCTTGCAAAGGTGAATGCCGGTACAGGCCCCTCCAATCTTGTAACAGTTTTGCCTTTTGATGGGGCTAAGGACTACCATACTCACAGGTACTGATCGCCAACTGATTAAGTGGGATTTGGGCAACCTGAGTGCTATCGCACAGTAAGACGATATCGTCCGCATATACGAGGTCGAAGTCTTTCTCCAGGAAACAAATCTACACGACCCTCACCACCACCCACGTCCTTCAGAGCCCACTCCAGAATGTCATCTATGGCAAAGTTAAAGAGAAATGAAGGGACTGGGTAACCCCGTCTAGTACCACTGTTGGTTGGGAAGAGTTGTGATAGGGGGTTGTATGTACTCATTTTACCTAAGATATTTATATATAGGGCTTCCCGGATGTTAACAAGCTTCTGAGGTACACCCTTCTCTAACTGACAGTTCTGGAGAGTTGTGTCCAGCGAATCGAATCAGGAGTACTTGATATCAAGAAACATAGTGATTGTTGGCCTGCAATACGTGTAACGGTGTTCCAACAACTGACGAAGAGTGAACCCATGATCAGCACATCCGCAGCCTGAACGAAACCCAGCTTGCTCTTCGCGAATTAAATCCTTACGTGTTCCGCACAGCCTACGAAGCAAAACAGCAACCAATATATTAGGTGCGACTGGTAGCAAACTAAAACCCCTGTGGTTTTTGTATGTGTTACGTTGGTCTTTTTTAAAGATGGGGACGATGATGGCTTCATTCCACATTGATAGGACATCCTAACTTTCTCATACTTGCCTAAACCATCCAGTTAAAGTCACGATGAAAATCTCGCCACCATCTTTAGAAGGAGCCGGGTGCCTTATGGCGCTTCAACACTTGGAGTTCCTTCCGAACTTCCGCTTCATTTGGTGGGTCCGTGTTGACTGACCAAGGAACACTGTAACTGGTAATGTGGTGCTGGGTGCTACAGCTGATGGCTAACTAAACTGCTTCTCATGGTGGTCTGCTCAGCGTTCCAGACATCTTTTTAGGCTGATAATTGGCATGCCATCTGTCTCATAGACCGTCTCGCCGATGCCATGCCTTTTGCTGTTAGTGGCTCGGATGAGTTGGTACAGCTGCTGGTTATTGCCAGATGCAACTGCTGGTTCCATCTCACACGCACGTTCTGACCATCAGGCTTCGTGGTCCTTACATAAACACTGTTTGAACTTGCGTGTAAGTGCCCTTCGTATGTTGTACTCTCTATCCGCTAGAATGGACTGGCGCTCATCCAGAAATTGGAAGGAACTCGCGGAAACCTAGTGGTTTTTAGCGGAGCATTCTTTTAAGCTTCAAGCGGCTTCAGTCTCCATTTGTATAGCGCCTTGTATACTACTTGGAGGGTTGTTAGCTAACCTTAAGTGTGACTCAGTCTGGTACTTCAAAGAGTTAGTAGGTGTAAATACAGCTATTGTCATGTGAAATTCATAACTCACATGATTTGTTTATAACGCTTCCAAACTTCCCTATCTATCAAAATAAATTTGTCCTTATTACTACTTATTGTTATTGTTCAGGATTATTCCACACCTAACTCCTAGCGTAGTATACTCACTAAATCAGTCTTAGTTTTTAAAAAGATTATAATTGACTTTATACGTTATTTTGAAGGAAGATGAAGATGAAGATTATATGTCGGAGAGTTCTGTTGAAGATGTTATTGATTCTGATTTCCTCGATCCCAGTGAAAGTGAAGAAGATAGCGCAGCCGCAGCAGCAGCAGAGGTGGAAGAAGAGGAAGGTGGGCGTAAAAAGCGTAAAGGTAATCGAGTTGTAACCAGAGGCTACAAGGTATGTATTTTTCAAATGCTCGGTAAATTTAATGACTACGAATATCAATGTATTCATTTGTTTGTAATTGGAAAATTAAATTGTATCTACACTGTTTTTTTGTCATTTATCTTTCTTTTTTTTCTGCACAATTTACTCTGCTACATAAATCCTGTATTTTATGAAACAAATCTGTGCTGTAAACTAAATCATTTATTGTGTTAGTGATAACAGTATTATTCGGCTGTTTAAGATTTTGTTACTGGAGCAACTGTGTTCAACTGTGTATAGCGCTTTATGATTGGAAAGTTACATACTTAAGGTAATAAGCCATAGTTGTTGTGTATTTATAAAACATTAGTGTTTTGAGATGGTTCATCTGTTTTATTCGATTTCATCTTGTTGTTAATAGCTCATTTTAAAGTTATAGTGTCGGTTTCTTAGAACACAAATACAATCATACGTCACTGGCTAAATCTTAATATATATATATATACTCTACCTTTAGTGAGAGCCGGGGTAGATCGTCTGAACCGGGTGTCTTATGGCGCTTCAACACTTGGAGTTCCTTCTGAACTTCCGTTGTGGTATTATGTGAGGATTAATCACCCTGGTTTCACTTTTGTTTTCCCTGATATTGTCTTTATTGTTTGTGGATTTGACGTGTGATAATTTAGAAGCGTGCGTCGGTGGCATAGCGGTTAGGACGCTCGCCGACCATGCAAATGGTCCGGGGTTCGATCAACGGCCACCGACGCACTCCTTTATCTCGCTAAGCCAGTAATCAGACTGGTGAAGAGGGAAGGTTGGGCATGAGGCTAGCAACCCCATCCTGTAGAAATAGACACTGCTACAGACACTTCAAGCCACTAGCTTGAAGCCCTATGTTCCACTAGGGAACGTGGAGGAAAAAACAACAAAAAGCAATTTAGAAACATTCACACTAGTGGAGATCAAGCGTAAAACTCGGCTTATCGTGAAGTTTTGTAATTCGGCTTTATTTACGAAACATATTTAAGTTGTCTGTCAAGTTCGTGTGAACTTTGTTATGCATACCAACACCATGAGGTTTTGCACACACAAGCATTTCTTTGTAGTCCTTGTTGTTGAAATGTCTAAAAATCGTACCAGACATCATCCACATATCAGTGGCTCACTATCGAACGAATCAAATTAACCATTCATTGGTATTTTTTTAACGTGCTACTTCGCATTAGCCTTGTATGCTTAATCGTTCTGCGTATGTGTGGGCATGTGTTGAGCCTGACTGCTTAACACTACTTCTTTAATCTTCTTAGAGTAGCTTTCAGTCCTGTTGCTCGCGGAGTTTAGTGTTGTAAGGATGGCGCGTATTGCTAACTCAAATTCTTCTTAACCTTATGTTTTTCAAACTTTTTACCATCTGATCATCTGATTTCAGGATAGTATGGTATCGCAATGTAGCTTATGTTTGCTCATTAGATAGATAATGAAGCGAAACTGTGTTGTTTCACAGCTGTTATTAGTATTTAACTGCCTGAAATTTGGCAAGTTTGATGTGGTTCGAACTTGTGACTTATTACCTTCATAGATTCGTATTAGTTTGGTAAAGCGGTAGTAGTGAGTGGATGATCTCCGCCTGTCATTGTAATATAAGAATATTTTAGAATAGTATATCTGCTATTACGTAATCAGTTATACGGCAACTCGAACTGCTGCACTTCGGTGCCAAGTTCTATGTTGAATCCAGACAGACAGACAGACAGAATCAGTTATACATGCATTTACTACATGATCAATAAGCATTCATTTTGTGGCTTATTCAGAGTTTCAGCGTAAGATCTCGAGCTTTTAGATAGAATTGCATAAGGTCTAATGTAGGTTATTTTTATTTTTTGGGTTGTAAGTCTATGAATTGGTTCTCTGCATATTTGTGGGTGAGAAAAAAGCTTTTATTCCGAAACATTTAATGGTTTAACAAACTTTCAATACTTCTGTTTTAATTTAATACAATTTTGGTGTATTGTATTATTATTATTTCCCAAATAATATTTTATACAGTTTAGTAAGAACACGATGAATAAATCCGTGGTTCACTCAGAAAACAAACGTTTCTACGAGTTGGTTAGTGACTGTTATCAGTTAGAGAACCATTGAAAGCCGGGAAGTACTGGACAGCTGTTTCATCTTAGTTCGGTAATCATCGACTTCTAGTGAGAAGTCGTGACCAGTTAGGTCCATCCAGTCAAGTGTGAGAATGGATGTCCCACCGATGACATTGGTTGGTGGTCGCGCTAAATCTCTAATCGGTAGAAGTTAGAATTCATGCACTGGTCATTGAATCGGGTCCCAGTGGCTGAATGATCTGCGAGCTTGCCTTGTAACCTAAAAGTCCTAGGCTTGAACCCCATTGGGTGCGTGTCGTGATGAAGAGTCCTAAATCAGTACGTAAAAGTTGTCCAGTATTCCCAGGTTTTCCAATGCTTTTCTAACTGATGTGTCAACTCGTGACCAAACCTGCAACCAATCAAATCCCTGCAAACCAACACTTTATAATTAAACATAATTATCTCAAATCGTGGAAAATACTCATCTTTTCTCTATAATTAATTATCCCACTCGACACTTATTTTCGAGTACCATTCCTAGTCTTTTAGTTTAATTATAAAATATTTCACTGTCATTCATTTCAACGATTGATATTCACGTATATTAAGAAATAAATCTATAAAGCTGATGTTCAATTGTCAGTATGACAGTGGTGTCACATTATTGTTATTAATATCAAACAGTTAGGTAGTTAAATTAGTTATATCATGTTTTGTGTAGCCGAAACAGAAGTTGTTGTATCCAATGCTATTTATTACTAATGAGAATATGATCAGTGCATTTTTTTAACTTTAAAATCTACAGGAGCCTAAACGTGCCAAAACTACAAAAAGTCAGGCGAAAAACTCAGCTAAGAAAAAGACTGGTGAAAAGGTTTCGACAGAGCCTCAGGATAAACCTACTCCACCAGTTAAAGATAAACCAAAGCCAACAGTAACAAAGAAAAGTTCACAGACTCATGTTTTTGGTAAGCAGAATTTACAAACAAGTTGAATCTTATTTACGCGGTTGAGATTTTCTGTATATCAGACTGTGATGATACTACTACCCAGTAGTGGGCCAATCCGAAGTAGGTGGAGTGGGATTCGAGCCATAGGCGACATCTTCAACACAAGCATATTTATATATTTTATATAGTAAAATACAAATAAGTATTGGTTCGTAGGGATTTGGTTGATTGGTTACAAGATTTCATCATGAGTTGACATTGGTTAGAGAACCATTGGAAAACCTGGGAGCACTGGACAGCTGTTTGAGAATTCATGGGCCATTGGATCGGATCCCAGTGGCTTAATGGTCTATTAGCTAGCTCGCCTTGTAACCAGAAGGTCCAGGGTTCGAACCCTGGTGGTGGGTGCGTACTGATGAAGAGTCCCAAACTGGCAAGAAACAGCTGTCCAGTATTCCCAGGTTTTCCAATGGTTCTCTAACCAATGTCAGCTTATGATGAAATCCTGTAACAAATAAGTTTAGTGTGAAAAAAGTTAACATGATAATAATAATAATAAGATACTAAAGACGATATTTTACTCTGACGCAACTGAAAAGCAATTCCCAGTTACAGTGAAGGGTATCAGTTTTCAAGTATCATAACTACCAACACGGTTTCGTCTTTGTGAACAAAGAAATACTCTTCTTCCACATATTCATTCACTATAAAAATACAGACAATAATAATAATAAAGTAACCTAACTGTAATCCCGACCACATCCCTAGCCGTAACGTGCTGTCTAAACAGTACTTAAGAATACGATCAGGATGAAATTTGTGCCTCAGTTCATGCACAGTGTTCATAGTGGCACTGTAATAATGGTAGGCTTTTGCAATCCAACAAATGATATACTTTCAATGTCATTAGTGCATTCGTACTCCGGGCTGGCTATTCTTTAGATGTTGGTCTTTCATTTTCTTTCTATATAAAGAAAATTACAACCCTTATGAGTTGATTTGAATCATCTATATTCTCTTTGAAATCATCTGATGATATAGTAAACTAGACAAATGGCAAATCTGAGCTAAAATAACCTTTTCTAAAGTTTCATTTCATTTATTTTACATTACATTACAATATCAACTGCTTTAAGCATCAAAATAAAGCAGCGGATGAATGACCAGTCGGAACAAGAAGGCGATTTTTGCGCCTAAATTACATATATTTATGATAATGATAAGTCAAAAGGAGGAGGCGTGCAAGTGTTCTCTGATCTGTGATCAGCCTTGGATTGAAGCATCAGTGTAGTAATTATTCTACATTCTGTATACATGTATTCATCTAGGTCTTCTAACCTTCATCCCCCTTATCAGCTTAACCTAACCCTAACCTGTCCTTTGCCCAAACCTAATGAATACTTACCAGATATCCATAGACTGAGATGGTTAGGACATGTGTTACGTATGTCTACTCATCGCCTTCCTCGACGAGCAATGTTAGAGGATATAGGGTCAGGCTGGAAAAAATAGCGGAGGTCAAACAAAAACTTGGTACCAGTCAATGAAATCTACAACAGTTAGTCTAAGCCACGTAGGAAGGTGTAGACTTCCTGGTTGAGGTCCTCGGGACGGTAAAAACAAATGGTTGGAAACAATTGGTGACATGGCTCAAAATCGTTCTCACTCAATGGCTGGCGCAGATGCATCCACTCCTTGTGACTTATGATTTCCAATGAAGCTGTTTTGTTCTTCGTTATTACTCTTCCTTTGTCTTACACTTCTGCTTACTGTCTCTATTATGCTTTTCTTGTACTTTCTTCTCTTGCTTTGTGTGCTACGAGAAGGGAGTGTGGAGACTTGAACTGCTGCATATATGTGCAAAGTTCTAAGTCGAAAACAGACAGACAGACAGACCAAATATCCTGTTTAACATCAAAGCAGTTCATCATGATTTATTATATAATGCTATTTGCCTGGTTTCACTAACTTGCTAACCGAGCGTTCCAAAGTCATTGATGCAGTCGCCCACTCCGTCGATACTTACTAGTGCTTGAAGTTTAACTTGGCTCTCTTGTGTTTTCCATTTTAATGTACTACATGTCATTTTTTTGTTTTGTTTTTATCTCTGATATTCTAGTGAAGCCTACATTACGTTCACGTACTAAAGAAGCAACTGCTAAGCAAGAAACACAAGCGACACGTAGACCAGTAATACGTAAAGGGATTACACCTATTCGTCGGAAAGCCTTTTTAGCAGAAATCGCAAGACGCAAAAATCTTCCTGAAGTTCGACGTTTAACACAGGAAGAATTACTAGCTGAAGCTAAGATTACAGAAGAAATTAATCGTCGTTCTTTAGGTAGTTTTTTTTCTTCATCTTGATATTGCCCAAGAATTTTATTAATAATTTTATGTACTGTTGATACAGTGTTTTATTTTCTTAATTCGATTTATTGAAATATTAGGAATCAGTGGTTTTCGTGCGGATAAAATCTGAAAATTACTCACCATCACATCATTAAATTTTTTTTCAATGTTTTCACTGGTCTTCATTTATTTGTTTTTTTTTGCCCCTAACATCCATTTAGCGTCGGTGGCATAGCGGTTAGGACGCTCGCCGATCATGCACATGGTCCGGGGTTCGATCAACGGCCACCGACGCACTCCTTTATCTCGCTAAGCCAGTAATCAGACTGGTGAAGAGGGAAGGTTGGGCATGAGGCTAGCAACCCCATCCTGTAGAAATAGACACTGCTACAGACACTTCAAGCCACTAGCTTGAAGCCCTATGTTCCACTAGGGAACGTGAAGGAAAAAAAACATCAATTTCCATTTACTGTTCCCCGTGTGGGGTGTTGTTTTAAAGTAGGAATAACTTAAAATATGAGTTTCAGTTTTGACCACGGATTGATATCAGCTAGAGAACCATTAAAAATTATGGAATACTGGGAAGCTGTTTCGTTTCAATGGGGGATCTTCGTTAGCACGCACCCACCAACCCACCGGAGTTTGAACCCTGGATCTTCCGGTTACAAGACGAGCTCTTAGACCATTTAGCCACTAAGACCCGACTCATTGGCCAGTCCACTGAGTGTACTACAATTCGTAAATTTAGCGCGAGACAAGTCAAATCTGTACAAACTAGCTCATGAAAATTAGTCTGACGCTCTCTAGTAACTGGCTACCGGACAGAGTTTCTTGGAGTTGTAGGGCGAAGTAGTGACCAGTGAGGTTCACCTTTTCGGCAGTAAGGACAAATACTCGCCACAGGATGACATTAGTTGGTGGTCGCGCTAAAATCACGAATTGTGGTACAAGTTAGAATTCATCCGACTGACAACTGAGTCTGGTTCCAGTGGTTGAACGGTCTATGAGAGCTGGCCTCGTAGCCGGAGTTTCCTGGGTTCGACCCCTGGGTGCATACCGCTGATGAGTCCTAAACAAGGAGGGAGCAGCTGTCTAGTGCTCCTTAGTTTTCAGTGGTTCGCTAACTGATATCAATGCGTGATCAGAACTGAAACAAATCGAATTTTCTGCAAACTAAGGTAAGTTGTTCACCTACTATATGCATGTAAATGCATATATATATATATAATTGCCTCCAAAGCCTCAGGATGTTCGGGGGTGGGTGCCTTGCGCTGTGGGTTGGCCACCCCTCCGCACACCTCTTGAAATGCTCCCATGTGACCGGGCGTCTTACATATCCTCTCCTGAGGAAGTCCTGCTCACTGCCTTCACGTGGTGGAGGTGTTTTTCACCGAAGTGAGAGGGCAAAAGCGGATGCCTGGCGCTCTTCACCGGGTTGACTGTCCATTGGATGACAGTCTAGGGGAGATGGCTAAACCCTAATTCCAAACCTCCAACGACTGGCGTATGAAGCTCACCGGAGCTCACCGGAGCTCACCGGCAGACGTATGGACAAAGGGCTTATTGGATGCCCTGGATGTCTGGCCCCATTCAAAAAGGCGTATGAACCGGACTCCGGTCACCGGCTGCCAATGGATAGTGAACTACCTACTCCACTCCTACTGCCTTGTAGATCACACTTGGTTGTGTAAAGGCTAGGGCTGCACTCTCAAACAAAAGGCCGAGCGATTCTGGGGATATCACTCGTACCTAATTCCCATGAAACTTCATGAACTCTCTTACAAACGACTATCGCCGCGCGTGGGCAGTGATGATTCGAGATGTTCATGAAGCCGGCTCATCCTCCCGTAGGAGATAGCCGAAGTAAAAGTAAGTAATATATATAGTTCATTTTCTCTCCTTTTATTTGTTCTCTTATTTATGCTTATATAGAGCGATTTCAGCGTCTGGAGATCGAAAGAAAGAAGGCACGTGTTCTAAAGACAGTTCATTGCACACCGATGATTCGTTATCATTCAGTTAGTGTTCCATCAATTGAAGATCAATACAATATATATGCTGTAGCACTCGATGCTGATGGGTATGTGTAATACAAGAGGAAATCTAGAGAATTATTATGCATAAGATGTTCAATGAGTATTATATAATCAATCAGTATAGTAATTTGTGATATATATATATATATATATAACCAAGGTCAGCTCATGATGAAATCCTGTAACCAATCAAATCCCTACAAACCAACACTTGAATAATGTAACCTTATCTGTATTTCTGTATGACAGAATACTTGTGTCGTCCTAATTGATAGTTTTACCGGAATAACTAACTCCTCACTCCCTATTGATGATCACAGTTTCTTCACTTTCTTCCTACCACACGGAGTTTCAAGTACATTTTTGCCAAATTTGGTGTTGTACAAGATGCATTTATTCTGTGAACAAATTTCCATGGATGAATGGTAGTAGCTTACGAGTACTGCTGTGTAGTTTTCATGGAAATTATTCTCAAATAGGTATTATTTAAATATGAAATCTCATATCATATGTAAATTTATTTTCGAAATTTCCAATAACGAGACATGCAATATGGGGTCAGTATGACAAAAGGCTGTTAGTATAACATTGAGAAATTGACTGACAAAAAAACCTACTACAAAACTCGAATTAATTCCAATGGTGAAAATGCCACATGTCCAGTGATCCACAACAGAAAACTCTGAGTAGCCTTTGAAGTGAATATAGCAGTGAGACAAGACTACCTACTATCACCGGTAGTCCTTCTAATTGTGTTGGACTGGATTATGCGGAATACAGTGTGTGTGTTACGGGGGGGGGGGGGCGAGTGAGAAGACAGGAATATGTCGAACTGACTAGAGGATTCTACAAGAAGTAGATTTTGCGGACAATTTGTGTCTGATGTCACATAAACTGGAAGACTTACAAAACGAAAACCAATAAACTGGAAGAAGAAGCAGCCAGAGAAGACAGGACTTCAAGTGAACATAGAAAATACGGAGGTGATGAAGGTAACCAAGCAACAACAAATACAAGCACCAGTCACTATCAATAGGAGAAATTTAAAGGCAGTCACTTCTCTAACTTCTCTAGGTAATATCTTTCGAACTACAGGCGGCGGCATGGATGAGCATAATGAAACCAGAATCGGAAGGGCAAGTCAAGCCTTCATCACCCTGAAATCAGTTTGGAAATCTTCACTCATTGCAAAGAATAAGATCTGGATTTTCAACACCAATGGTAAGTAGTCAGTCAGTTCTTCTATACGGGTCAGAAATTTGGCCGGCGTGTCACGGAGAGCATTTCCAACAGGCTAATGCAAACTTTTATCAACAGTTGCCTTCATTGGCTTCATGCGGGGAAGATCAGAAAGGCAGAAAGGGTTGGTGGTAAGAAACTCTGACTGGCAACGAACCAACTAAGGACCTTTTGTTAAACAAATATATGTGGAATAAACTGGATTGGATATATGCTGGGGAGACGTGTGGGGTGACATCGCGCGTTAAACAGGCTATCACTCGAGTGCAAGGACGATATGATATGCAATGGGCAATCGTGGGTCTGGTCTAAGGGGACTCAAGAGAATAGGACAAAGTGGAGACGGTTGGTCGAAGCCCTATGTTCCACTCGGAACCCAAGGGTATAATAATAATAATAATAATAATAATTCCAATGTTATTTTCTCTAATAACTTAATGCCGACCAAACTCAAACCAGATGTTGTCACGAATAGAAGTAACTGATCAAATCAGCAGTTTACGCTTCCTCAAAGTGACACTCTGAATGGTAAATACTACTGTAACAGCAGCAGACTAGACACAAAGCAAACGTATATTTTCAATTGATCAAAGCGCTATTCATATGTATATAATACAGTTTTATATTCTTTAACCAATCACTTAGCTTTTGATTTTGGTTTATATTAAACGACATGAAGTAGAATGTTCAAATATACATATAATAATCTGTTGGTAATACAGTATTGAACTGTGAGAGTGGTATTCAGACGTTAACACCAACGAATACGATGATTCTCACTGTAAGAATGATATTCCTTTGGAACACTTTGTCTGTATGACACCACTACATTGTCTTAAAATCTGCTTTTTATTTTCTGTCTGTCCGTATCTTTTGATGGATTCAGGCTTTAAAAGTATGCAATTAGTCCTACTATGTGGCTTTTTTCATACCTAAGAGTTTGCTCAATATATTTTGAATACCTAATTTAATAAATATTCGTTTTCAAAAGACTGATTACTGAACAAAGAATACTCCTTTCGATAACCCCTTCTTCATCAAGTTCCAGAGCTATATATACATAATAGTGAATGAATTAGTGTTATTAACAACGTTAATATCGTTTAAGTAACATCGAATCAAGCATACTAATATCACTGGATTACAGTTCAATAGCATCAACACACTGAATATCAGAAAAATTAGGAAAGATAATAAAGTACAAATTCATGAATTTATAGTCTCTACTGAAGACTGGCTAGGGCAGTAGTAGTGACTGGACGTGTTTCTTCTGCACACAGAGCACTGCTTGTTTCACGCGAATCGCTATTGCCTCTGCTGTTTGGAGCATGCGGTTCCTCGATGTTTTTGGCAACTTGTTTGTTACCCGGTAGATGATAGAAAAGGATTCTTCAATGCTGGCTTTGTGGCCAAATAAATTGCAAAAACATCGAGGAACCGCATGCTTTAAACAGCAGAAGAAATGGCGATTCGCGTGAAACAACCAGTGCTTTATGTGCAGAAGTCCAGACACTACTACTGCCCTAGCCAGTCTTCAGTAGAGACTATAAATTCATGAATTTGTACTTTATTATCTTTCCTAATTTTTCTGATATTCAGTGTGTTGATGCTATTGAACTGTAATCCAGTGATATTAGTATGCTTGATTCGATGTTACTTAAACGATATTAACGTTGTTAATAACACTAATTCATTCACTATTATGTATATATAGCTCTGGAACTTGATGAAGAAGGGGTTATCGAAAGGAGTATTCTTTGTTCAGTAATCATTCTTTTGAAAAAAAAATTTAATGGACATTTTCAACCAGTTCAAACGTTCATTTGTTTGACTAATGTAACACTAAAATTAAAATCTTGGGACAGTTCAGTTATTCAGCATATCCAAAAGCATAGAATGCTTTTTGGGGAAAAGCTGATTAATTATAGAGCAAATAATTAGTTGTTTAGTGCCTGTGAACTCTTGTTAAGAGAAAAGAAGTCTATCCAAGTAATTCAATCCACCACAGTTGGAATTATTGTAACATTAATAGTTAAGGACTACTTGAACAATTGTATATTCGTTATTGAAGTGATACTAAAACTGAAAATTAAATAAATATCCATTATAAACCTAACAACCATTATCTTTTTCTTTTATAATTCAATTCCTTTCACCAGAACACCTGTACGAGCTGCTCCGATAATCACGCATCCTGAAGCCAGAGTTTATAGGAATTTTATAACATTTGCAAATGATGAGTGTTTCCGTCGATCAATGCCTGCGACAACTACTCCACTACCGGAACCAGGTTATTCTGCTCCCTGTCCTGTACGTCCAAAACGTTATCCACGAATTTGTCCAATCACTGGTCTACCGGCTCGTTATGTAGATCCGTTAACTTTAACACCTTATGCTAATCTAGATGCATTTCGTATAATCAGACATTTATACGATATACATCTGGAGACAGATATACCTCCTATGGAATTATTACGAGAGTATCTATCAAGTTGTTAGTGTTTTCTTTGTAATTACAGACAAATGAACTCATACATGTTATGATTTTATGCTTATTTACTTGATAAAAAATCAAACCAATATACCTTGCGTAGTTGTTGGAGTATTAAATTCTTGATTAAAGCGTTTCTATTGTGTTGTTTTTGCAGGCAACACTCTTTGTAGAAGTTGATTTACGTTGAGAGTGAACGTTTGTCATCAATATTGATGTTTTTGGAGGAGACTACTTGAACAGATAGAATAAGTTTGTTGTTGCGTTGATTAAGGTGGAGATAGGTGCATATGAGCTGAAAAGTATTTCATCTATCAGGGAGACGGGTTATAACCGATAATTTATTATGTGATGGCTGATAAAACAAAATGCCCAGTGTGTAGCGGGATTCTAACCAGGAATCTACTGGTTCAGATTTTAGTGGTAAACTCAATGGGCCGTAGCTGCGGACACTAACTTACTTTTATAAATCTAATGTGTAATGTGGATAGACATATAAGGTCATGTAAGAAACTAGCGAATAAAATATTGTCAGACCCCGAGCATCTTCTCTATACGCAGCTGTCTCCTTGCATTTCATCTGGTAGAACTAGAAGCAGCTATAGGAGGTTATATGCTAAGACTACCAAGTACAAAAACTCCACAATACCATATCTGGCACAGCTGTTATGTGATGAGAATTCCGTTAGGTATGACATGATCAACTTACTGCGGCACTCTAACAAATAGTTCCCATTAGTTTTTGTTTTTCTTTCCTCGTTACTATTACACTGTTGTTCTCATTTTCTATTACACACCAATTTTATATTTCATATCCTGTGGTGCATTGTTTAAAATGTAAACGCAACGCTGTTCTTTTTTTATTTTTTATTATCTTTTTTTCGGGTGTTGCTTTTTGATTTTAAAATCTTATAAAATTTATGAGGTAATTAAACGCAATATAGTGTAATGCACGCTGAAAATTCCATACGTGTAGCACAAATACTGTTTGGAATAAAGCTGTTATTATTATTATCGTTAGTCTTGAAGCTACTCAACTCATTTCTTCGTCTTCAAGCTGAATGAAGTGTGCAGATGACTGTCTTCTTATCTATAGTTTGATCGGGAAATAAAGGACGAAATAGATCATGGTGTTTGTCCAGTCAGTAGTCAACGGGCTTTTTCGGTATGAATCTGAAATGTATTTGCTTTTGGCTACAGAATCCCGGACTACATATTTGATCCTTCAGTGTGTGCACAAGAGGTGAAATGTATAAAAACAACTCTAGTTTAAGCCGATTCTTTGAATTCTGCACATATACTGTGAGACAAGTGTACATAACTGAAGCCTGACCATCAAGATAACTTCGGACATTGAGTAATTCATTCATACCTCAATTATGTAGGAATTTGACATCCAGTAAGTGTGGCTTTACGCTGTGGATATAGGTTGATTCGAAAAGCTGATTACTCAGTTGGTAGACTTTTTGGTTACGCGATATGGTTAGCAATGTTGCTAGTAGTAGAGTGAGTCGTACGGAAAAAATATTTTTCTTCCCTATTATGGCAAATCAGGTATTCATTCGTATGTGTTTAACGTGGTGCAGTAGATTTAATAAAAGGCGCTTACATGCTACCGTCAGATTACCAACCCAAGTGGCTGACGGATGGTGATGCTAATGTGCCCAGATGATTTTATTCTGCAGTACTAGCATAAAAAACTACGATGCACCGTAATTATCTTGATTCTCTTGTCCCGTTTTTTCTCGGATTTTATTCAGTGTTTTGTAAGTATTTTTCCGATGATTTCTCCTTTTGTCGGTTACTTTTTGACTTTTTTGTTTAATTCTTGCACTAAGTTCCTTTCCTGTGTTTTTCATCCTAATTTTCTGGCTCAAGGAGTTACCTATAGTCTTTCTTTCTTTGTCCTGATAACTTCTGTTGATTCATTTAGCACAAATTGTTTCTGTTACTTTTACGGCGCTTTTTCATCTGTCTGTTGCTTGCCGCTTGTTGTTGTCTTAATTTCCCATCGAAAATCTCTGTTACTTCATGCGTGTGCATTTGGTTCATGTTTTAGTACATTTGGGAATCTTTGTTGTTTCACGTACTTATTTTTTTTCATTGTCTTTTCTGTTAGTTCCTTTTATTTATTTTATGTTAAAATTATGCTACTGAAATCAGTCACAAAGTAATATATCATCATAACTGAATTAATTCTGTTGTTCTCTCATTCGTGAAAATATAGCGATTACACTATGTTTCTTAAGTAATTTTTATTATATCGCCTGGCATTTTCACACAGAAGTTTAAAAAACATGCAAAACGCACTTTCCCCCAGAATGCTCGTTTGTCATACTATCAGGAATCGACTATCATATAACGTCGACAGACTGACAGAACTCAATGCTCTGCATCAATTACTGTCTCCTATTAAAACGAATCTTTCATTTGTAAATCTGTGTAGAATTTCACTTTTACTGAGAATAAGTAGGAGAACTACCTGCCTGTTTCACCTGGTTGTCAAGTAAATACTACTTCCAGACAGTCACTGTTTTCAAGATAGTCGTAATAAACGTAGTGTAGTCAGTGTGATGACTGATTCGTATTTAAAAAGTAATTTAACCTTGGAGTGTAACTTACGCCATTGTAGGAAAGGAGAAATTGATCTTGGATACTTGTTTCAATCAGCTCTGGTTGACTAGTTGCTTAGGTAGTCTTATCATGGGAACACAGAATAATACATTTAGCATTCCTCAGTCGGCGTCATTTCTGACACCTGAATTACATCCGTCTACTGTGCCACAATTCATTCCGTTCTATTCTACAGCTCGTGATAGAAATGCAATTGTTTATCATTCTTCGGATTTCCAGTGGAACGTAGGACATCAAGCTTTGTAGTCCCAGTAGGCTGTGGTGTTCTTTCCTACATGGTGTCGCTAGCCTCACATGCAAACCACCCTGTTCTCTCAATAGTAAACTAGACAGTTCAGGAGTCAGTCAGACTCGTACTATGTACATCCTTCGTGAGCATTTCACCACTATCCCACTGACACACAAGACTTGGAGAAAGTACAAGTCATACAGCATAGATGTCTTCAGTCATTTGTTTGAGTAAGACGGATGAGTATAGCTGCTAGTGATTAGATTACAGTTGGTGTTAGGTAAGGTACGTAGGTAGTTAGGTGGGAGGTCGTTAGATCCGTTAACGATGTTATGAAGTCCAATAGATTGATGTGACTGAATCAATTGTTAGTCACGTTGAGTTGGCACCTTTTCTCACAGACAGTATTATTTAAAAATTGTTATCAACTTGAGAAAATTGGTAGATGTAGTCAGATTAAAACATGAAGTCACCGGCAGTTGTTCCACGTTATGCTTTTAGGCATAGGTGGTATAAGTGAGATCCACAAGATGCTGGAGATCACTGATTGTGAATTCCTAATAAAATGACTGAAATGCGTACACAGTGAGAATCACTCACTTCTTTTTTCATGAGAATTTCTAGTATCACTACTTTCCATTAGGTCACTACTCCTCTGAAATCATGTTACTACTCTTTTCTTTGATGTCTGTGTAGGAAACTGAAAACTCTACATCTGCACAAAGTTCTTCAATCATTTATTTGTCATTTAGTTTTGTTAGAATCGAAGAATCTAGAATGATGAAACTTGTAGAAGTTTTTATGGTTTTTCAATATAAGTATAGGCAATTAACTTAACTGGAAATGTTGTTTCATTATCAATACTGTAACACTTTGTGCAATATCTAATTAAGTGACTTAACATAAAAGTGCATCATTAAAAGCACTTATTCAAATCGGTCTACATGTTGCATAATAGTTGAATTTATTGAAGAAGGTATCAAGGCATCTTATAATTGATATAATTTTTGTATTGGTTTTTGTAGGGATATTGTTTGATTAGCTGGAGGATTTCATCATGAGCTGACATCACTTAGAGAACAATTCGAAAACCTGCAGGGAGTACTGAACAGCTGTTTCATTCTAGTGTGGGACTCTTTAGTAGTAGGCACCCACCAGGGTTCGAACCCGGTGCATTTACTACTGTTAGTAATTATTGTTGCTGCGGTGGTATACTTTCGGCAGATATCAGGTGGTTGTATGCAACTCGTAAGAGGTGAACACAGCATGGAGATCGTATTGCGCGCTTGATTAATGTAATTAAAACACCACTAACACAAAGTGCGTCGGTGGCACGGCGGTTAGGACGCTCGCCGACCATGCACATATCAGAGGTTCGATCCCCGGCCGACGCACTCTTTTACCTCGCTAAGCCAGAAATAATGCTGGTAAAGAGGGAAAGTTGGGCACGAAGCTAGCAACCCCATCCTGTAAAAATAAGCACTGCTGCAGAAACTCCAAGCCACTAAGCCCTATTTTCCACTGGAACGTGAAGGAAGAATTATTATTATTAGCACAAACGACTAATAGATGACATTGGTTGCTGTCTACAGATCACTCAACGCATTCATTAGACTCCTAGAGGAGAGAAATTGTGAACCAGAATTACTCAGAGGAAGCATCTCTGACTTCAGCACTGTGCGTCGGTGGCACAGTGGTTAGGACTCTCGCCGACCATGAACATGGTCCGGGGTTCGAGCCCACGCCGACGCACACCTGATATCTATGGTTGGCCTGCGAAATTTGGGCTACCGATATCCACGCTGAAAATTCCTTACTTGTACAGAAAATACGGTGTGGAATCATGCTGTAATCAAAAATAAAAAATAAATAAAATAATCAAATTATTATTCATTTGGGTTCCTGGCGGAACATAAGAATTCAACAGCATATCTTCACTTCACCCTGTTGTCTGCAATCCTCTATGGCTAGCCCCATGACTACCGTCTTATCTCCTCTCCATACGATCTCCAACATGTCATCCTCGGACCCATGTCCGACTCATTGTTTCCCATTTGCGTCCCACATCAGCGATGGATTAGCTATCGCGAGATGTCATCCGACAATCTTCTTCATTTTCCCGGGATATTTGTTAAGCAACAGCTTCTTGGTTGGTTCTGCCTACTGCTAATTCTTTTTGGCTGGCCATCTGATCTTTGGTATGGAGCTAGCGGAAGCAAGTGTTGTTGAAAGTAATTTCCAAATTACTATACCGTCGATGACCTATGCTTTGTTCGATAATGATGCAATCTGATCCTAACATGAATTGCTTTTCCTGAATCCAGCATGTTCAGGGTAGAGTTGTGCATCTTTTATCGCCCCCCAGAACTGGATAACGCAGGTCCTGATTTTCAAAAGAGTGTCAGTCCCTTCATAATAACGAACACGACTTGTTGACCAGTGTCTGTTAAAACTGTTGTGAAACTCGCGAATGCTATGATTTGTCATTAAGGCTTCGATCTTAATGACGGAAATTACAGCTGATCGAATAAAATTGTGAGTATCAGCCAATGGAAAAAGCTTATGTGATTCAACAATTGAAATTCTCACTTTATAGTTGAAAAAATCATGGAATCAGCCACAACAATTGTCTTAGGCAGCAGGTTACTTGTAATATCAGAAAGTAATAAGCTGTCATGATCGATTATTATACAAAGTAGGAGGTATTAAAAGTCACTCCCTTCCTTTGTCCAATCAACAAAACAAAAGTTATTGATCTTTGATCATTAACCTTAAGAATAAAACCAGTGTACTTCTATTACCGAGATTATGAGTGATAAACCCATCCAACTGGTGTTTTTCTTTTCACATAATTGACTTGCCGGCGGTAGTGGGTGTGGCCATTATGCAGTATATAATATGCTAATTCCAACTTTCTACCTGGACT